TGATAGGTTAATTCTCTCCACAAACTCTCAAGTTCAAAGGACTAATTGGTGGCATATTTGTTATGGTCCTAGTTGGTACTGACAGCACCCACAACATCATGCTTAGCACACCATCTAAACCTTCAAGCTTCACCAATCACTCAATTTTTTGTTGTGGTGGGAGACAGTTCCCATTTATAATGTGAAAGGATCTGTAATAACGTGTAAATTATTCTTCAAAACACCTCTTTCAACCTCCCATTTTATTTACTACCAATCGAAGGCGCTGATATTGTCCTTAGCATGTCTTAGTTGCAAACTCTAGGTCTGATTCAAGCGAATTTTTCCATCCCATCCATCAATTTTACCCACTTGGAAAAATCCATTATATTATAAGGAGATCCTACAGCTGACCCTATTCATACCACCTTTCACCAACTCTGCCACCTCATTCACAACAACTTTGTTGCCTCCCTAGACCTAATGATTTTTCAACCATTAGATCCCTCACCAAACAATCTTACACCCCTTCATGCCCTCTTAGACTCCTTACCACCAAACCTTCACCCATAAATTCAAACCTTGCTTAATAACTACCCATCCACTTTTCACCCTAAAACTAGACTTCCCCCAAAAAGACCCAACGACCATCACATAACCCTTTTACCCAATACACCACCAATCAATGTCAAAATGTACCATTATCAACAGTCATATAAGGAAACTATGGTGAACATTATCCAAGACATGTTAAAGAATGGCATTATTATTCCAAGTCACGTCTCTTTTTCCTCACTGGTATTACTTGTCAAAAAACAGATGGTGCATGGCGTTTCTATGTGAATTATTTAGCTCTCAATGCAATTACAATTAAAGACCGCTTCCCAATTCCAACTATTGATGAATTATTAGATGAATTGGGCATCTCCATTTTCTTCACCAAGTTAGACCTATGCTCAGGCTACCATCATATCCGTGTTGTATCGGAAGACACTCAAAAATAGCTTTTCGAACTTTCGATGGGCATTATGAATTCCTCGTAATGCCTTTCGGGCGGACAAACGCCCCTTCTACTTTTCATTACGCTATGAATGATTTACTATGCCCTCATTTATAAAAGTTTGTTTTAGTATTTTTTTATGACATATTGATTTACAGTGTGAATTTCAATGATCACTTGATTCATTTTCGGGTTGTTTTTGAATTGCTACAGACTCATGCTTTTGTGGTGAAATGATCAAAGTGTGTTTTTGCAGTTAATCAAGCTCATTACTTAGGCCATGTTATCTCACTAGGTGGTGTTGCACCCGATCCAGAAAAGGTAAACGCCATTTTGGATTGGCCACAACCACGTTCTCTTACAACTTTCCGCAGATTTTTGGACTTATAGGTTTTTATCGTCACTTTGTCCGCAATTATGTCACTCTCGCTGCTCCTCTCACCGATTTGTTATGTTCCACTAAATTTGTATGGAGTACATATGCGTTCGTAGCCTTTACAGAATTAAAAAAAATCATTGATCGACATGCCGGTACTGGCTTTTCCAGATTTTACACAAATGTTCATCATTGAAACAGACGCTTCAAGAGCTGTTGTTGGCGTCATGTTGTCCTAAAGCGGTTGTCCTATATTTTCTTCAGTAAGAAAATATGTCCTCTAATGCAAGTAGCTTCTGTTTATGTGCGCGAGATGTTTGCTGTTACAGAAGCAGTCAAAACCTTATCGGTCAACATTTTCACATTTACGCGGATCAAAAGAGTTTGTGCAATCTGTTGCTTTGAAAAATTCAAACACAAGAACAACAGAAATGGGCATTGAAACTATAAGGCTTAAATTTTGAGATATTCTACAAACCTGAAAAATCAAACCGTATTGCAGATGCTTTGAGTAGAAAATTTTATACTTAAGGCTCCTTGTTGTTGCTCCATCTTCTCCCATTCCAGATCTCTTAACAACACTTCGTGAGTTCTATGAAAGAGATCCAGGCGGCAAAACATTAGTCGAGCAAATAGCATGCAACAGTAAAGATAAGCTAAACAAGTTTTCCAATGGATTGTTGTACTACAAAGACCTCCTTTTCATACATGATATTCAAGGACTTCACAACAACCTTCTGAAGGAGTATTAGAACACACCCACAACAGGCCATTATGGTGCTAAGGCAGCCCTGGCTCGTGTTTCCGCATCGTTTTCATGGCCTGGCCTCTCCATCGCAGTTAAATCCCTTGTCAAACACTGCTCCATCTGTCAACAGAACAAATACCAAACTCAGAAAAAATGAAAAGGATTATTACAACCTCTTCCAATACTAAATCAAGTTTGGGAAGATCTCACAATGGATTTTATTACTCATTTGCCAAACTCCTTTATTACTCATGCTGACAACCTCTAACACATTCATGCGGCTTTTCTTGACCAGCGAGCAACATTGATCAAGACATAACTTAGTTGCAACATCAACAATAAACAGCCACATATCATAGAGGAAAACGAAAATCAAATCAAATACACAGAAATCATAGTCACTCAACAACATGTAATTTTCTCTCTATCAGGTTAGGTTAATAATAAAACAGTGCTAGCAAACAGAAAGTTATTCATATAGATAAATGATAATTATTCAATAAATAAGTATAAAAGAATCACCCATTGGGGTCTACATTTAATTAAAAGTAACACATCAACTTTGTATGACATGATTTTTATTTAGACCCTTAACTAGTTCAAGAAATCAGCATTTGGACCACTCTTGTGCTGAAAAGCATTTGCATTACCGTTAATTTAATGTATCATTATCAATAAAATAGGTAAATTAATTTACTTATAAGTCAATTATAATAAAAGTGATTTGGAATAAAAATGTAGGTAAAGGCAAAATTCCAAATTATAATATAAAGGCGAAATCAAATTTATAAAAAAAAACATTCAAATATAACATATTTGATTTTCATTTTGCTTTATCCAAAGTTATAATTTCAAAAACAATTTCTCAATGTATTCTATATATCTCTTAGCCACCTAAAATTATAAAAATATCTTTAATTTTCAAAAGTATATTTCTGAACACATCAAATATATGTTTTTCATTCGTTTTTGAAATATATTTCAATTTTGTAAATAAAATTATTTTAAAAATATATTTCTGAAAATACATTTTCATAATTAAAAAACAAATGAAAAGTAAATCTTGTTCCTCCAATTCTTTTTTCTATCATGGAACATATTATGAATCAGAAAAAAAAAACTCTTATAAAACAGCTGCGTGTATGTTATTTAAAGATGTGTATAGTGACTTTTGGTTGTGGATTTTTCTTGTTCGCTTTGATTTTTCTTTCTCATTTTAGAAGAAATTTGGTGTTCAGAATCTTTTATTAAAACTTTGGTTTATTGGCTAGAAAGCATAGAAAGATTCCTATGAAGAATTTTATGCTTGGCTAGGTAATAATTTTCTTTTGCATGTAAAAAGATTTTTCATTTGATTTCATATGAAAAATAACATTTCAGTATCTTTGTAGATTCATAGATGAGAATAAAAGTATATTTTTCATCTATTAAACCTCAGATGTAGACTTGTTGTTAGATAAGTGCATTTTGCTAGAAGCACTAAGAAAACGAATGAATTTTTAGTTTTTGGATATTTTTTGAAAATGCGTCTTTGAAATAATTCAAACTTAATATAAGGTGTCATTCAAAATGATCTTTTTTAAAGCATGCAAAGAATACGTTCGAAATTATATCTATGAAAACATGAGACATATTTAAAAAACCACGCTGAAAAAGAAACTCAGGAGTTGGAATAAGAAATTTTCTTTCAAAAACATTAGGTAAAGAAAGAGTGTTAAGAAAGAAAATCGAATTCAAGGTACAAAGAAAATTTTTTCATTTTTTATTTTATTTCTAAAAAAATTGTCAAAATATGCTAAATTAAATAAATACGTAAAAGAAGAATAATGACAGAAAAAAAGGGTTATGCTAACCAGTGCCCTCAGGGCACTAGTTAAGAATTCCAAATAAGAAAAATATGTTATATTTAGTTCACTCAATACACACAATATTCTTTAAAAAGTCTGATTATTTCTCTTTTCAGGGTATTGAATACACATATATTTAGAAAAAAAATGTATTTTCAATTTATTAAATAATGTCCAACTTACCATTTTAATCTCTTAACCAATGCCCTAAGGGCACTCGTTAGCATTTCCAAAAAAAAATTATGTTATTTTCCATCAAGTATTGATGAGTCTTTCAGAATTCTTGTTATAATTTTATTCGTCTTATCGCAACAAATCAATCTTCTTCTGCTAGGAATTTAGGGTTCATCATAAACTTAGGAATTAGTGATGTCTCTATGACAAGTTAAAATTCTGAATGTTATATGTTATCACATAAACATAAATTAAAATAGCATAAAATCATGTAAAATTAAAATAAAATTATCTGAATTGTCACATAAATATAACTTAATATTTTTTATCAAAATTTATCAATATTCTTGAGAAACTTATAAAATAATGTTTATTAAATAAGTGACGAAAATGAAACCATAAATTAAATGAACAAAAATTTAAATAAGCCTACTTTTTCTAAAAATAGTTCTCAAGCAGTTACTGACTTAATATAAAAAGAAACAAAAGTGATTTTTATTATATATAGACCTCTTTGAATCAGTACTACATCTTTCTCACTCTTATTGAGTCCAAAGTTTCTAAAGATCTGTTATCCTCCGCAACTTGAACTTGTCACTAGACCCTAGTCACCTACATCTATTTCTGAAAGATTATTTTACAAGTTACAGATACAATAATTCACATTAAATTACACAATAAAACCATTATTCCTTCTAAATTTAAGGAGTCTTCAAATTCCCAACTGCTATCATCAGTTAACTAGCTGCCACTGTCGGTCATTTCGGCAAGTTAAATAGGGAAGGAAAGGAAGGGTCATCATATGCATGCATGATGAATCTGATGAAGACATAAGATAACGAACAAGAATGATACTATACTATTCCTTTCATTCTGTCATTCTCCTGAGGCAATAACAACAAAAACATCATCAAGTGACCATTTTCTTGTCACTGATTTTTCTGAAGGGTTGATAATAGCACGTTCTTGGCTGGACAGGCGATATCCTATAACAATTTCCTTTCTTGTACGACCCCTAATCATTATATCATAAAAACACAGCTCTTCTTGATCAAATAAATAGAACTCTGCAGGTTTAATACACATCTCGTTCCCCTGTCATAAGTACACCACAATTCCAACATTATATGCCAATTTGAAATTGGAATCCCAAACCATATAAAATAAACAAAAATCCTAAACTGGAAGTTTCAATTTCACATTTAGAGAATTGAAAGTTCCGAAGAAATTAAATGATTCAAATGGATTACTACCAAACACATTGAAATTCAGCTAAAATCCATCAAGTAGGCGTGAAAAAGCACAAATCAGTTCAATTGAAAGTTACCTCCTCTGCAAATAATTCCTCAAGAACACGGTTGATTTGCTTGTCTTCAGCCACCATAGCTAGTGCCATGCTAACCAGCTCATTAGATAATACATAATCACTGATTCTGGACACAGAAACTAGATTTCTAGTTCTAGAATCCAAAATTTCACTAATTATAATTGATTTATCTGAAGCTTGCTGCATTTCGCGTATCCATGAGTTGTGAGAGAACCCGGATAACCTCAAAGAAGTTGACTTTGTGTCACTGTATGGTAGACGTCTCGACTACAAAAAAAAAGTGGGGGATGGGGATGATTTTCATTTCCAATAAGTTCACGAAACAGTGCGACAGTAGTATTGTATTTTCGAAAGCAGCAGTAGTACTATATGAACACCATCATAACCCTAATAGTGGATACCTGTATATCACGAATGAGCAGAAGGGTAGCTAGGGATCTTGAGTCGGAATGAGCAACAGAGTCCTCCACTGACTCATCTGCAAGAATAAGGATCTGTCTTCTTAGAGTTAGTATACAGTTGAAGATATTCTTAGTTAGACTGTCCTGAAACTGAGGATATTCTATGACACTTGAATTCCTACTTCAACATGCACTTTTTCTCCTAATTATGTGTTCACATGATTTTTGTTTTATCGCATCCACCAGTTACGTGGAGGCAGTCATTCTAATCAGGTCATTTTTCAAGAGAAAGTAGGATATTTCTAATAATTGAAAATAATAATAGTAAATGAGATAGCAGGATTCTCAATCAATTTTCCAGAATCAATTACTATTAGCATAAAATATGATCATCTATTTGTGTCCAGCTATACATCTTGGCTATTCACCGTGACATCAAACTCTAAACATTCACATGGATATGGTGCATAAATGCAAATTGATTCCTTTCTCAGTGCACACTTGTCACTTACGCATTTCAAGATATAAATATGAAGAGAAAAAGATTTGCAACTTACAGAATCAAAAGTCTCCAATGGAAGACTCTCCAGATGCCGCCTAATGACAGCATTTCCCTCCCTGTGGACAAGCTTTATGTTCTCTAGCCCAAAAACGTCAAGTTCGCCAGCAGCGAGTTTCCTCTCTCTTGCCTTTTCAGGAACCTCATTGAACATCCAGAGTTCTGAACCAGGGGCCAAGAATGCTTCTAAAACCTGCAAAAGAAAAATGATGAAAGATAAGTTAGAAGATTATGAAGCTAAGCTCAGATTTTGTTTCATATTGTTGATGGATCTATTAGTAATTACAATCATGTGACTACTTACCATTACCACAATATCCTGTATACACAGTGCAGTTTCTTACTGAATAATATCTTAATTTCCGTAGGATTGTAATACAAGTATCGCTATGATGCTTACATAAACTATTACTAGTCAAGACATTGAACCTTAATTAATTAGACTAGGGTGTTAAACCTTTTTGCAGATTTCATACCAAAAGATATCAAATACAAAATGCTTAAGGCGCGGCAACTTGGACAAATATTATTTTTCTGGTCTGTAGGATGGTTATTTGGCTAAGGATTAAATCACCAAATGCAGGAGCTCGACACTGACTGGATTTACTGTGGGCCCAGGCAAAGACATGCTTACCAGAAAAGAGTACCACGCCCAAAGGGCGTGTGCTGTGTACCATGGAGACTCCTGATAAGAAAAATACCAGTTCTGATTATTTTTGTTAAGAGTGTAGTAAGCTATTAAGGAATTGTTGAACCGAACATCAAGGATGAATTGATGATAAGGCACCTTCGGAGAAAATTTGGAAAAAACAATACACTAAAACTGACAGTTTTTTTCCTTTGTGAAAAATGTATTGAATTGTCACAATTTATTAATTAAAAATAACTTCTCCTAAGAAAAATCTAAATAAACAAAACCTAACTGGAGGCATGATTGAGGAATGTATCTGCTCATAATACTCCTCTAGCATCTGGTATTGAATTGAGGTTTAGGTTAAGGCCAATTAATTAATGCAGATTTCACTTCCACCCATATCCATTCTATATCCTCTCTATCTCTCACCTCCAAAGTCTTACGCTCTAACTTTTCAACAGGTTTTAAGATTTCCTTCTAAATCTAATATTTCCCACTCATTTAGTAGATTAGATAAAAATAAAATGTGATGTCTTTCAATAACTTAACATTTAGCCGGTGAAACCAATCCCATAATATCTACAGAAAGATTATTCCTGTGCTGTTATTTGGTGTCATCTTGTTTGCCTATCTTGATAGTGATAATGACAAATCCATTCCATGCGAGCATAGTAGATCACTTATATAAAACACATTCCATCACATATTTTATATGCTTGGCATATGTTGCAGCTAATTCCGTAATTTCAAATACAACCTTTGACGTGTCAAAACTCAATCTTGTTTAGTCATTACACAATAATCAAGATCTTTTAAATGTAGTTTGATTTGACCAATTTTATGTTTTCTCAAACGGTAAATGCGTCCTTCTTACACATCAATATGATAGTGCATAACAGCAATATAGCTTGTCTTAAAATATAAGGATATTTGCAGTAATATGGAATTAACAAAATTTAGGTGATTACCATGATCATATCATCAATGTCACGGCGCCATCCACAAAATAATATTTTCTCTGGATATTTAGGAGGGTCACGTATCCTGGGGAAATAGCCCTTGCGTACCTATACAAATTATACAGTATTAAAACAAAATGTAATATGTAATGTTGGTTTCTGACTACAAAAATGTATTACCTAAGTCACCTATGATCATTAATTTAATGAATCCAAGAAAATGTGCAAGGTATACAACATTTTAATACCTAATCTAATTGGCATATTTTCCAATAAGGCAGACATACTAAATGGATCCAATGCTGGAAGGCCATTAATTTAATGAATCCAAGAAAATGTGCAAGGTATACAACATTTTAATACCTAATCTAATTGGCATATTTTCCAATAAGGCAGACATACTAAATGGATCCAATGCTGGAAGGCCAGCTAGAACATAAAGATTACCTCTGGCAGAGGGCCTGGAGCATAGGTGTCGTCATCCTCAGCTATGACAAGGACTTCATCACCATCTCTCAGAACATAATTATCATCTGGATTCATGACAATCTTCCCTCCATCTGCAGAAACCTTAACGCCACAGGGTATTGCATCAGGAAATGAAATTAATATGTCTTTGAAAAGAAGACCATCCAATTCAGGCCATCTTTTTATGTAAAATTCAGCATTCTCAAATCCCAGAATGTCCTCCCATATCTGGCCAAGGGAAGAAAACAAATCAACAAACACAGAATGACACCAAGTTTAAGTAACTGGAAACCAAATGCACCAGTGATTTCATCAAGTCCATAACACTTTAGCCATTACAAATTCCAGCAATGCTTAATAGAGTGAATGAGTAATTTGAATAATGACCTGTGCAAGGCCAGGCTGCAGAGCACATTGAATCATCAAACGTCCAATTACATCATGTGCAACAACTGTTTCAATGAGTTCCCCACCAACAAGTTTCACTAGGGGTTCATTGTCAAGGTCACTCATCTCCACAACAACATGCCCCCTTAAGCCCTCCTTTACACCAGTTAAGCTAAGAACAACTCTTAAAGCACGTGCATCACTCTGGAGACATAAATTCACGGAAAATATTGACTAAGAAGAAGTTCCAATGCAAGATTTAATTGCCAACAAAACAACAATAACAACTAACAAATAAGGTAAATGACCTGATCTGCATTTTCGTCTGAAGCTAAAACAATGATTGCTCGTGCCTTTGAGACTGAAACCTACAAATACATAATAAAGAATAAAGAATGATCAGAGACTATGCTAAGACTCAAGTTACCCTATTTTCCCTGAATGAAGAACAAAATCCAATGGCAATACCTTCTTTAAGTCAGCCAGTATAAGTGGACTGCCACTTCTACATATTACAGACGTCCCCATAAAATCGAATTCTAGCTTGGCTATATCCATTTCCATTTCTTCCTTTTCCTTTTCAGCAAGCACCACAATAACACCACCACCAACACTCTTATTTGCTATTGCTAGCTGTTTCAAAAGTGAGCCCTGCGGTAAAATATAATTTATCAACCTTCATTTGTCATATTTATCAAGAAAAGTAACTAATGCACTCAGATGTATAACACTCATACAGAGGGAAAAACTTCATAATGTATGTTTATGCAAGGAAGCCCAATTTTCCTAGGGGATCCATAACCAGCGGATGAAATGAATTCCTAAACGTCAAATCCTAATTCTAATACAAAAACTCAAGTTTTTTCTAGGAAAACCAATTAAATGATTACCAATTTGTCACTCCACCCAAGGATGAGTACATGGTTTCTTTCGATCACTTCACTCTTCCCTTTTCTAAGTGAATCAACCTTCTCCGATATAGCATCCGAAACAAGCCCAAGCATCATGGCAAATATAAGCATGCCACCTGCGCTAATTGAGACAGAGACGATTCTCTGGCCCATTCCTTCCGTTTCAGCATGATTTCCTGCGTCAGCTACATAAGTCCATGAATGCCAAAGTGCTTCAGCCATGCTACCGCCAGTAACCGCATACAACGCTAAACCACCAAATGCTATAAGAAAGAGAGTTGCAAAAAGAAGTGCAAGCAGCTTTGCATAAGGATATATGGAGAAAAACACATCCACCATATAAGCAACTCTCTTCTTTAATGGTACATCCTCTTCATTACTATTTGTTCTCCTCAAGAAATTAATCATTTGAGGAAGATAATCAATATATTTGTACAATACAAAAGGCAAAACAAGTGTGAAAAGCACAATATACAAAGAAATTGTTCTACTATCTGCATTTAGAATGTAATAAGAAAAGGAACCATCATCAACAACATCTTTTTGTAAAGATGTTTTTCCATTCCCAGAACAAAAATCAATTTGACAACAAAGTTGAAGTTTCATATCCTGAAACCAGATAAATTGACTTCATAAATAAGTAAATAAATAACGGGATCCAATCCAACACAAATAAGAAATCAATTAAAACTCCATTTGATAAAAAGTGGATGATGGCTGATAAGCTATCTTGTAGCAGATGAGCTTATAAGTTGATAGTGGATAACCTAGCTAATTGAATTTGTAGTGTTTGATAAAATTAAAAGTTGAACTAGCTTATAAATTTGAAATGACATAAGTAAAATATCTTTATTTTATTTTTTATTTTTTAAATTATGATTACAAGGGTAAATTTGAGAGAAAAATTAATTGTTATAAGCTCTAAGCTACAACTTACTTCAATTAGCATATCAAAATAAGCTATAAGCTCATAAGAATGTGACACTAACCAAACAGTCTCTTTAGTAAAAGATAGTTGATGGCAGATAAGCTAGCTGATTGAATTTGTAGTATTTGTCAAAATTAAATAATGAACTAACGTATAAATTTGAAATGACATAAATAGAATATGTTTATTTATTTTTTTAATTGAGATTACAAGGATGAAATTGAGAGAAAATTTAATCAGCTATAAGCTACTTGAATTACTGTTTGGATAAACTGCTTATTCGGAGCTTATACCATAAGTGCTTATCAAAATGTAAATTATTTTTATATGTGCTAAGTTGTTTTCATAAGTTATCTGTGAGAACTTATAAAAATAAACTCTCAAAAAAGTTTATGAATAATGCTATAAGCTCTCAAAAAGGTTTATGAATGATGCTATAAATTGTTTTAATAAACTCTTCCAAAGAGGGTCACAAAACTTATGGCATAAGATAAGCTCAAATAAGTCAATCTAAACAGTCCCTTAGCTTATCAAATTAAGCTATAAGGTTGTAACCAAACATGTAATTTTATACTTGTGAATTGATAAGCTAGTATAAGCTCAAAAATTAGCATTCCCAAAGAGAGCACGCAATACCTTGAGTTTGGCAAGCTTGTATTGTAGATAAGCTGAATAGGGCACAAAAATAACACATGTGAGAATGAACTGCAAAAAAAAAAGTAAGAAATTAAAAATAAAAATGAATCATGTAATTGTATGAATACATGAATAGAAGGTAAAAGAGGGAAAGTAACTAACGAGATAGAAAATTGGAGAGGAGATAGAGTGTTGTTGTTGTTGTTGTTGTTGTTGTCGTTGTTGTTGTTTGGTGATGGCGATGGGGAGAGAAGGTGGCGAAGAGGAAGAGGAAGAGGTTTTAGGTTCGGAGTGAGGTTTGGTATGGAAGTCGGAGGCGGGAGGTTTTAGGTTGGGCGTAAGGTTGGAAGGTTTGGGAGGAGGTGGCGGTCTTCTTTTTCTGGAGGTGGAGCCAATGCCAAGAAAAGAAGGGTAGTTCCATTGTTGTTGTTCGAAATCGGTTTTGGTTGAAGATGAAGATGAATTTCCGATTCCATTATCGGCGGCGATAGAGACTCTGAGATTGAGAGAAGGTTGCTGTGCGAGTGTTTTTGTTCTCTTCAACGGTGGTTTGTTAGTATTCAGATTCGAATTAGGTTCTTCGTTGCTCTTCGCCATTCACGAGTTAGTGAGTTAGTTAGTGAGTGATACCGAACGAGTGAGCGAGTTCACACACAGTTCGAAGATTGATTCTTTTTTGTTGATACCGATGGAGAGAGATCTTGATGAAATGGAAATGGAATTGTTTTGTGGGACTGGGAACTTTTGTGAATATTTTATTAACTTTTTTCATGTTGACATGGATCTCTTTCATATGCTGAGCTTTTTCTATGCTGGAGTACCTTTTTGTGAATAAATCAACTTTTTTTCAATAGTGGTTTACTTTACGGTTCTTTCTACTTTCATCTTAGTTGTTATGATGTAATAATTACTATTATGTGTATTCTATGATGTGGATTTGCATCATCTATTCTACAAATTGTCTTTTAAATTAATATTTTATTATTATTTTTGTTCTTTTTTTAGTTGTTCCTTGGTATTTTTCTTTAGCTTCCATTTAACTAATTTTAAAAATCTACTTCACAAATATATATATATATATATATATATATATATATATATATATATATATATATATATATATATATATATATATATATATATATATATATATATATATATATATATTGTTTCGGACTGACCCAATAGTTAGACATGATCCAACCCACTTCTGTTTTTAGAAACGGTCCAATTGTTTAAGTTCAACCTCTTTGGGGGAAAGTTTACCTTTTTGCCCCTCTAACAAGAGAGGTTGACCTATTTACCCTTGGTCACAGCACTTATCCCCGTTAGTCTCTATCTGTCACGCACGGTTCCATATATGCATTCACAAAAGCAAGTATGAACATGATAAGGCAATTAATCAAACATCTTTGAGCATTAAAACATATTAACAAACATATATGAATCATACAAGATCAATCTCACAAGAAAAATCAAGTTCCAAGTTGAAAACGTTTACAAATACCAAGGTAAAAACACATGCTTTTCAAGTGGATCAAAGTAACAATAATTTCAAGAAAATAACAATTAGGCACAACACCAAGGTAATCCGACGATAATTTCAAGTAGGCAGCCTCATCCTAAGAAGGAATCACAAAGATTCCCGAGAGGGCAAGCTCGCCGCAAATTGGGAGGGACCCCACTGCGTTAGAGCAAAAACGGGGAACTGGGCCTACTACCTAGAATACCTAACCGGGGAAGAATTAGCTCGACCATGGAACGCCGAAAAGCTGAAACAATATTACAGTTAATGCCCCCACCGTCGACATGTCTTGCCCAAGCGGCGGGCACGTGACCGACTGTGGGTGCACGCTCAGATACAAGTGATGCACCACCAAAAGGATCTAAGTAAGGGTCTAGTGAAGATACCTACCCATGCTCGACGGCGGTTCCTCGACCGAGCCCGCCGTTGTCACAGTACCATGAATGGAAAAACCTCCAACTCATGATGGGAAGTTCACGCTGCGAACTCAGACCACAATTGTCACCTGAGCTCCGCCCCTGTCCGGAAACAACCCAGGCATTTCGATTAGTTCCTCGCACTGTCGAACACCGTACTTCTAGCATACCTGGAACAATACAAATTACTAAGTGCATCTTATGACCGCGTTGGACGGTTCCAGACACTTAGAAAATATTCAACAAACATACAAACATACAACATACTTGTATATATATAATATAACACGACCACAAAGAACCGAAAATTTGCATGGTACAATAAAAAGGGGATCAAGCCCCACATAATGAAATTACAATAAAATACAGATAATCAAATGCACACATGTCAAAACATAAAACTACTCCTCTTGTTGAGCTTCCTCCTGCGACACCTGCCCCTGGTCATCCCCGTCCTCGGCAAACCGGAGAAAATCTGGAACGACTATCTGGTCGTCTTTTACCGTATAAAGGAACCATGTGCCCTCCATAGTCAGCTCGACCCCAGGGTTCACCAACTCTATTTGGTCCACTTCATTCTGGAAAGTCTCCTCACCAATGGTCACTAGGTTGTCGGCAGCTTGAACAAACTGAGCGACCAACTCTGACCGAGTCATCAACTTCTTCGTCTCTTCGGGCTCATCCTCAACAGGGGCAGCCACGGTCTGCAACTTCTCCACCAGATCCTCGGCAACCTTCAACTTAGCAGCCACAACGTCCCTCTACAAAGCTACCTTCTTGCGACCTTTGCTGGCAATATCTTCGAGCTGCTTCCCCCTCTCCTCCTGAAGTTTCTTGACCTTCTTCTCTAAGGCCGCCACCGCAGCTTGAGACCTCTTCAGCTCAAGTTCTAGCGGAGAGTCGTCCTCGGTGTATATCACGACCATCTCCAGGACCCTCATTAAAGCAGAGGTATCCTGAGCAAGCAGGGCCCATTTGCTGGCATGGTCCATTTCCTCGAGCTTTAGAGATTCTGCCTGAGGAATGGACAGAGAAGACCCCTCGAAGAATTTTTTTATTATGAAAGTAGGGGGCAGCTGGATCTTGCTTTTTGTAGACTCCCGACTGAAGTCCACGAACTCATTTGGGCGGGCACGCTTGGGCCTCGAGCTCACGGGCAGAGGCGACACTGAGTAGCCGAAGGAGTTGAGGATGAAGTCCCCGACCCTGTCTGAAGGGGAATTGTTCGCTGACCAAGGCGACTCTTCCCTAGAGCAGTGTTGCCCTTCATTTTCCCTTGGGCATGTTTCATCATTCTTTCCTGCGCTGAAGGCATTTTACCTACAAAAATAACAAACACGTAAGCACGAGGAAAGAAAACATCTCGGGCGGAATAAGAGAAAGCGAGAAATACCTAAAAGTTCAAGAGCCTCCTCGCGAGTGCTGCACTCGAGGAGCTCTTTGGTGTTAATATATCGGGCTTCCACCTACAACCCACCATCCTCCTCGTATAGAACCTACCTGACGCGAGTCACGCATTGGGCAGGAAGGAAGCCGTCTACAAAGGCCACTAGCTTGGTATAGCTGGCCCGATCATCCTCCACCAACTGATGAGGAGCAACTATGTACTCATTAGTTGAACGGGTAAAGTGATCCTCACTCCAGTAGAAAGGGAAAGTAAACAGCCTCCGGGTAACTATTTTTCCCTCTTCATCTATCAGGTCCTCCTCATTCTCGTCTGTGGAGACCTCCCATATGAAAGTTGGATCGGTAGCCCTCTTCGACATCGGTTCGATCATGTAAAATATCTCCTTAAACATCCGAATAAATTCGGATAAGGGTTTGAACAACTTATTCCCTTGCTTCAAAGAAACCCAACCAAACTTTCTCCCTGACATCTGCCGTTGAAGATGAAAGATGGTGAAGAAAAGGGGGAGGGTAGCCCCGATTTGCAGATACTCTCACACCAGCTCGTATGCTCGCATGAAGACAATAGAGTTTGAGTACAGTTGAGAGGGCGCCAGGTCAAGGTGCACGAAGACGGCGCGTTGAAAGTCTGTGAAGGGCAATCTTAACCCTATCTCTTTAAAAACATACTCGTACATGGGAGATCGCTCCCCGTATACCGAGCAAATCCGTTCATCTTCTGAAGGAAAATGGACCATCCACTCTCCCTCCGGTCCTACCGTGGTGAATGCATCCCCGGTGTACGAAGCAAAAAGAGATGCATGCTCCGTTGGCTTGGCCACCGTCCACTCATTCACCGATGACCTTGCAGCGGACGTCCTCACGAGCTCAGAAGACGAGGAATCATCGTCTGTCTCGGTATCCTCTGAGGAGTTATCCTCAGACAAATCTCTAAGATGTTCTTCTTCGTCGGCCTTGCGCGACATCTCTTTTACCTGAAAAGCAAAGGAAAATAGTGAATTCGATGACAAAATCAAATCCACCCTTTCACTACTAGTCAAGTGAAAGGGCGCGTAAAGGAACGAGGACAGGATCCTTGACCTAAACCTTACTCAAATGGCGCAGCTAAACAAATGGGGAAGATGCCCGGTAGTTCTCCCTAACGCATCCAGGGATAGTCCCCAGTTACAAAACCCAAAAATTCCACGGGGAAACCACCAGAATCCATGTCACCTCTGGCAGTGGCATCGTCGTGTCCTCCCTACCTCAGGATCAACTGAACCTATGGGTTACTAACTTGCCTTTCCTAAAAACAGCAACTACACCGCAGGCAGCAGACAGATGGTCGCGCCACCATCTGCCACCAATAACCACCACTAAATACACCCTATAATTAAGTCATTTCAGTCCTAACCACATGCAATCTAAGGCATCAAATCCGATAAACAATGAATAAACAGAGAATCAATGTACTTATATGGTCGAGGAAGAAGTTCTGGACCTAAAGCGACTCTGGTCAGACGTTGTACGGTGGCCGGAGCAGACTTGAAGGCAACAAGTAGCGGTTGAAGAAACAGGCAAGAAGAAAGAGAAGCAAAAGTTCTGAATAAACGAACCCTCTCGCTTTTTATAGGAAAATGACAGGCACGTGCACGAGCACGCGCAGGTAGGGCATCATTATGACCCTAGCCTAGCCATCATCACGCATTTAATGCAGCACACGGCTCGAGGCACACGTGGCAGCCTCAATCTTCAAATCCCATCAATCGTTGGACTCCCCAGATCCTAAGATCCCTGACACCAACATTCATGGTGCCCGAGCAAGTGTTCATCCGAACACAAGGGAGCTCACGACGACTATGCTCGAGAAGCAGACTGTTGCGGTGGAAATAGGATACCAAACTATTAATTAGTTTGAATCACAATTTTTAATTCACAACCGCTCTTTGATTTATCCGAAGGAAAATGTCAAAAGAAGGAAAACTAATTTTTACATCGTAAACACAATGCGGGGAGAGACCTAGATAAGGGGTTGGTTAAACTTAGGGAAGGTACTAGCACCCTAAACTTCTGTAGTACTCTACAGGAACCTTTTGTTTATTGTTTACTATTTGCTTTAATTATTTACTGGAGGTATATATAAAGGGAATAAAAGTTAAATAAAAATACCTAAAGGTTAGTCCTAAGTTTACTCGGCAAGATGTCGCATCTTATGCCTACATATCCTGACGGGAACGGAATCAGAGTAATTGTAGTTCCCCTCAAAAGGG